GGACAGATAATTCCTGCTTTCACACCGGTTTCAGACCGGTCACCTTGAATTCCTCCGGATCTAGGAAGCCTTTCTTCGTCTGATCCTAACACAAGCAAATCTGGTGGACATGAAGTCACCGCGCCAATACATAACCTCATGCTGGTGTTGACCTCGACTTAGCCTGCTCATCTCCTCCTCCTCCTCCTGGCTTCGACAAATCGGCCGAAATGACCTTAGCTTCTCCCAGAGTGGCGTTCGTCTTCCTATTTGCTGTGAACTGCGTACTCTGGTCTTCTAGCCGATATGGACAAATCCCGCGCGCTACTTTCCTTCACGGAGAAAACAGTTTGGTGAAACGGATATCCCTTGAACTCGCCGACTCCGGCGCTTCGCCGTCCTCCGATGTCAGCCAGTCGCAGGTGTGAACTATGCTATGGAATGACGTCTCTCGTACTCACATCACTAGTGCCGGCCTCTCGCATTTCCGACTATTGATCAGTGCGCCCATGTGCAGAGTTATTGTCCGCTACCCTCAACATTCCTATCCATCCCATATCTTCAGCACTATTACTGCACCGAGACCACGCTGAGGCCATTGGTTTTTACGGCACTCATCATTTGGCTCGTGTTCCTGTTCTCAACCCTAGGTATCAGTGCTTCCGACTTTTTCACCCCAAATCTCGCCACAATTGCGCAGCTACTGGGATTGGACGAAAATGTTGCAGGTGTTACATTCCTGGCCTTTGGCAATGGCAGTCCCGACGTTTTCTCTACGTTTTCTGCCATGCGGGCCAATTCGGGGAGTCTCGCCATAGGCGAACTTCTTGGAGCTGCGTCTTTCATCGTTTCATGTGTGGTCGGTGCGATGTGCATCATAAAACCTTTCCAACTGCATCGGCCGACTTATTTTCTTCGCGATGTTGGCTTTATGTTCGCGGCCGTCGCTTTGCTGCTGGTGATATTATGGGACGAAAGCATCCGGTTTTGGGAAGCCGCCGTGATGATTGCGCTCTACATCATATACGTCACCGTTGTAGTCCTTGGAACCTGGTGGGAAGGGAGACAAGAGCGTAGAAGGGCGCATGAAGCCATGGTGCGGTCGGAATACGACGATTCGGTCATCTCGTCAATGAGCCCTTTCCAAGAGCGCTATACAGACTACCGTGGGTGCATAACTTATCATGTCTACTCACTCTCACTATGTTCCAGCTACCCCCTCACCGTCCCCGACGCCGAATAGCGTTCTCGTGGCGCCATCACCTTCCAGAGTGCGCGCTATCTCGGCGCCAGGAGCTCCTCCGAGGCTACGTACAGACCTTCCCCAACGTCCCCACTCTCGAACGCCATCCCCATCCCCTTCTTTCGGGGCTATGCCGTCGTTTTCGCTTGTGGGTGCTTTGGAGTTTCGTCAAGTTGTTGCTGCTCTGCAACACGAAGCTGCGGGTTCATCCCTCAACGTCTTCGAAAGTCCGTTTACCCCATACGCGGGAGGTCACTATAACTCTCTTAGGTCAAGGCCACGAACTCTTAGTCGTGATCTCAGTCACAGTCAAGAGATAGACCCTTGGGATGCTGCCCTCGGAGTACCTCTTGACGAACGTGCGCGCCCACGAGTGGTGCTCACCCCTGCTCTCACTGAAGAGTCCGAAGGCAACCTGGACGGAAGCACTGTGGGGACCTCAAGTCGTTCACGGGGAACTTCTGTTCCCTCAATCTCACGAACACCCGCCTCTCCAACTAATACGGATATCGACGCCGAGTCCCAAAATTTCCAACCTCCTACTCGGCGGCAACGTCTCCTCTATGTCGTTGCGAGTGCATACAACACACTCTTCCCGTCCCTCCATCGCTTCCGAAGTAAAACCGTCCTAGGTCAGGTTGCTTCTGTATTTGCTACCCCGGCTGTTATGCTCCTCACCCTGACACTGCCGGTTGTCGTTACTCCATATCAATCGGCTCATCTCTCCCGTGAGAAAACACCTGGCGATGCGGGCAACCTCATCGATTTCGAAGAAGAGGGCATTGAACGGGTCTTGATCGCAGAAGAAGAAGTTGCTGAAGACATGCACGGGATGCTGTACAGCAAATGGCTTACCGCGGCCCAGTGTACCTTTGGTCCCTTATTCTGTGCTGCTGTATTGTTCGGTATGCACCGGACTCCTTATCATTTATCTATTGTCCTTATGTATCACGATCCAGGCGGTAACAGGTATCAGCTAGCGGCGTTGCTTTCTGCGGGAACCGCTGGTTTTGTTGCCTCTGTTCTCGTCGCAGTTCTCGCAGACAACGGCGAACATCCCACATTTCGCATGGCCCGTTGTTTCATAGGCTTCTTCGTTGCCGTTGTGTGGATAATGGCGATCGCGGATGAGGTGGTACAAGTGCTCCAGGTATGTCCCAAACCACGTGGGAAAACCATTTCTTGAGAAGAAAATCTAGACATTTGGATTCATTTTTGGGCTCTCCGATGCAATCATCGGTTTAACAATCTTCGCTGTAGGCAACTCCCTCGCCGATCTTGTGGCCAATATGAGCGTAGCGGTATGTATGCAGTCCTCCGTCAAATTGTACTCATAAAACCTGAGCAGGTGTTTGCTCCCATTATGGGATTCTCTGCGTGTTTTGGAGGCCCGATGCTGAACATCCTACTAGGTGTAGGAATATCAGGAACCTACATCACTCAACAGACTGCACAACCATACGAGCTTCATTTTGGGAGAACACTGCTGGTCAGCACCGTTGGGCTACTGATTTTATTGGCAGCCACACTCATCGTGGTCCCACTGAACGGGTATTATCTGACACGGACTTGGGGCGTGATCCTCATTGCCTCATATACAACAATCATGGCTATCAATGTCGTCGTTGAAATGAATAGCTGAGATGCGGGCACAGCTAGTATGTACTAACATATGTATGGCGGACTGTACTCGCAGCCGCACGGATAATATCATAGATATCAGAAATCGAATGGAAGGCTGTGGATCTTGATCAACAAGCGACAACATCGCTTCTCCGACTTCCATGTCTGACGAAGTTGCAGCACCCGAAATCCAGATAAACGTCAAGGGTCTCTCCGTCTCCTTGGTCTCGCCTCAACAACCCCTAATCTGCCCTCAGGTCCGAGTGAATTGAAGCTTCAAATCGCGATAACAACCGATAAAACTGTCCTCGAACTCAAGCAGGCTATCGCAGAGAAATCTGATGTAGAAGCTGAACGGCAACGTCTCATTTACTCGGGTGAGGCCCGGCCAACCCTCGCGTGGGTGCAGAAATTAATAGGCTGCTCTAGGGCGAGTGCTGAAGGTAATTGCTAACCAATGTATGCCCCACAGCGAGATTTACAATGTTTTCCAAGGACGAGGACTTTCTGTCTGTTTACAAGATCCAGTCGTCCCACACGATCCACATGGTCAAGGGTGCCGTACGCTCTGGTGCTGCCTCGACGTCTTCGCAGCCCGCGGCGCCACAACAATTACCTACAATGCAGACCGGACAAAATCCGAGCGACCCGCTGACCCAGCTCAACAGCCATGCAGGTTTCGGCGCAATGGCGGGATTCAATCCCTTTGCAGACATGGGCGTCAACCCGAACGATCCCAACATGGTAAGCACGCATTCCGGTAATGAGAGGTAAACTGAACTGTTTTTCAGTTGCAGGGGATGATGAACAACCCCCAATTTCTCCAGCAAATGTCGGCGATGATGTCAAACCCTGAGATTATGGATCAGATAATCTCATCCAACCCGCAGATGGCTGGGATGGGGCCCGAGGCTCGCGCCATGATGCAGAGTGATCATTTTAGGCAGATGGTGTACGTGACTGGTGACTGCGTACTCGGTTTGGTTGGTGACCTTTTGTCTTCTAGATCGAGTCCTGAAAATCTGCAACGAATGCTCCAAATGGCGTCCATGTTCAATGGAGCAGGAGCAGGCGGCGGGGCCAATGCCTTCCCTGCTCCTGGCATTCCCGGAGCCACACCGTCTACCAATACTCCCGCGGCGGCCCCCGCCTTTCCTAATCTCTTTGGAGGCGGTGCCGGCGGGGCAGCGCGCACCCCAGCTTTCGACCCAGCGCTTCTCGCCCAGCTGATGGGCGGAGCGCCACCCGCGCCCTCTCCAGCTGCCGCTGGAGCAGGCATGGATCCAGCGGCGCTGTATCAACTTCTTGGGCTCAGTGGAATCGGAGCAGGCGGTGCTGGTGCGATTCCGTCACCGCCGGCGGATGCGCGGCCCCCTGAGGAGAGATTCCAGGTTCAACTGCAGGCTGGTCCTTTTCCCTTTGTTCCGGCGGCAAAGACTCATCCGAACTGTTTTTTTTTTTACAGCAACTACAGGACATGGGATTCACCAACGCATCTCAGAACGTACGTGCCCTTCTTGCGACGGCTGGGAATGTGCACTCGGCGATCGAGTACATTCTCGGAGGAGGCGGGCTCTAGGTTCATCATAATCAAACAATGTAGAATATCTTGGGTAGCTGATGTATATACCAGTGAGCCGTGTTGTGTAATAAGAAACTGGTGGCCCCAAAATTGCTGCACTTCACAGAAACATGGGGACCTTACATAGGTGGCCCCTTGTAGATACAGTCATGCAGCACACGGGTGTCGAGATAAACGACAAGTTTAACTAGCATTGGCAAGAAACCGAAAGCGCAATATGTACTTAGCTTCTGCAAAATTCGAAGGTCACAGCAGAACGTTGGCAGAACGGAGTCAGAGCGCTTCGTGTAGGCTCGATTCACCCTCTATAGCTTTCTACGTGATCTTTCTGGAGACAATCGTTCAGGATCACTATGCTATAGACGCTTCGTGCACTTCCATCGACTTGTGAACCATCTCTGTTCCATCGAAAAGGACCCCGGCGCAGGCTTCAAAGAATGTACGGAGAAGACAGGAAAGAGAACGACCCGGGGATCGCGGTCGTAAAAAGAAAGCTGAGCTGCTATGACGACGCGACAGGGTAGTGAAACTAGCCAGAGCCATATAGTATATCCAATTGGCTTGAACAATCATCCGACTTTAGCTCAGTTGGTAGTAGCGCAAGACTGTAATGGATACCTGCGATCTTGAGGTCACCTGTTCGACCCAGGTAAGTCGGATTTTTGTTTTGTTGTGGTCGAGCTAGCTGGGTAGGTAGGTTGTTTTTAGTTTCTCAAAGAATGACGCACTCCAGATGATTATGTGTTTCTTGCAGTCAAAAATTGAGCTATGAATTCGCGGAAACTGGACAATGTCAATTCGTCTGGACTGGTCTTGGGCCAACTCGCTGACACAAGTAGACTACTGGAACTTGCATTCGCAGACAACGAGCATTATCTCGCCGGCATGGGACGAGCTGTTCAACGCAGAATTTGCGATTGGATCACCTGGTTGGAACCTTCGAAAAGTCGTCGATCTCGAACAAAAAAAACATTCGTTACTGATTTGTACCGCTGCGCCGCATTTAGGCTAGGGCCACTTTCTCAAAGCAATACAATCAAAACTAGACACTCACAGTTCGACTCTATTTACTGCTCCTGCTGCAACTCTTAGCTTAAATGAAGTAATTACGGAGATTCCATTTGTGTGAGTAATGTCGAGAAAAGGAAAGATTAGCCAGTATAGATCCGTAATCCGCAATGAGAAATGAAAGATAAGTGAGATGAGATATATGTAGGGTCATGATGAAGGGATCGTTATCGTAATAGGTATTCATAAAAAAGACGAGAAATATGTATTCACATCACAACACACCACTTCCCTTTCTTCTCTTCCTTCTCTTCGCTTTGTTCAGGTTCTTCGGGGGGCGAGGAGACCGAAGGCGAGGTGGGTTTCGTAAATTCTCCCTGAGCCACGTCAAGAGAAGCCCGGCCTTCCGGCATCCTGGAAAACCATCCACCAGGGAAAAACATGGAAGACGCGGTAGACTCCAGCCGGGAGCGAGGCGAGATAGGCGGCGCATCGAGGAAAGCGTCATCTGGAACATCGGCGGACCTGGAAAAAAGTGAGTATGCGTATGTTAAAAGTATATCATTCACACTTACTCGGTAACATCGACCATGAGAGGGAAGGCGTGCGGCTGCACTTCAGTCGGAAGGGGGACCACAGATGCAACCGGCGTTTCCTCATTGTTTGGTTCTTCCGCATCTGAAGGACCGGAGGGCTCAACTTGCGAGTCGATCAACGGGGTGGGGGTGCTCGCTCCCGAAACCTGCTCATTGTTTGATGTCGGTAGGTCGGTAGTAGGCTGAGGGGCAACGTCGTCTAGCGGCGCACCCTCGTCGACAGTCGCACCTGTTTCGTTGGGCATGTCACGTGGCTCGGAAACCGCTGTGATGTCGAGCTGGGGAGTATCTGGTTTGGCAGCCGCATATTTCGTCTCCATGACCCCAGATTCGGGCAACGCAACTTCCTGCGAAAGGACGGGAGGATTGTGCATGTCGTGAACCAACTCTTCCGTCGAGAGAACTGGTACAGTGTCGAGGACAATGTTCTCATTCTTGTCATCCGATAGTTGAGCACCAGCTTCCGAAGTGATTGACGGAGAGCTATCCACGACGTCATCTTGGACATGGATATGATCAGATTCCACGGCAGTCGCCGCCTCAGAGGCCACCACCCCATTGTCGGAAGAGGTCTGCTCTTCTGTGATGGAAACATGCTGTGGTCCATGGTCCGCCAGTTCCGCAACATTGATATCCAGCTCTGGTGAGTCTTCCGCAATAACCGTAACTTCGTCTGTAGCGGGGGTTAAGACAGAATCTGTTGGTGAATCGGGACGAGTGGGGTTTGAGACCTCGACCGCGGCTGGCTCAGCTATAGCCGTGGAAGCGACCTGCTCAGGCTGTTGCGCTAATTCATCCGCAACCGGCTCTGTTGAAGCGGGACTGGCATCGTCCTTGATCAGAGCGTCCATCGATGGCTCTTCCGGCAGATCTGAGACGGCGACAGCTTTAACAATGTCCGTTTCTTGTTCCACGACGACATCTTCACAGTCACCGGAAGACGGTTCAGCCGGAACTGATTCCAAGTCCTGGCTGTCCACTTCGTCCACCGGCTCGTCCGCAGCGACAGAAGGGGCTGGCACAACGTCAGACATAGACTCTGGCTCCTGCGATCCAGCTTCGTCTGCAGGTTGCGCGACAGAAGTGACATCGTTCATGACTGTCTCGTCCCGCGGAATCTGTGTGATGGCTTCCTCGACGGACGGAGCAAACTCCATGGGAGGGAGAGACTCGGAGGTAAATATCGAGTCCTCCAGTGCAGAGACAGAAACAGAAGCAGGCGGGACCTCCTGTTGTTCTTCCAACAAGTCCGTTAGTGCAATGTTGTCCGGGATCTCGTTCGCGATCATCTCTTCAACCACCTCAGCGGACGGAACATTTAGAGCAGACGGCACTTCCACTTGAGAATCAGATGTAGAGGTATCAGAATTAGGAAGGATCTCATCCACAAACTCCTCGGCCGCCGGAGCAATGTCGGATTCTATGACGGGCGGAGCAAGTTCCACTGGAGTAATCGAGGCGGCGGTGCCAGCCACTTCATCCTCAGCAAAAGGCACTTCTTGGAGCTGTTCCGGCGCAGGGGTTGCGTGGATCTCGTTGACGATTTCCTCGACCGATCCAACTTCCGCGATACGCTCTTCCACGGAAGGAGCGAGCTCAAAAAGATCTTCCGAAGCCGCAGCTGTAGTTTCCGCATCAGCTTCGGCAGGCATCGGATTTGCGATTTCCTCTTGAGTTTCGAGCGACTCTGTTGGCCGAACCGTTTCGTGGACGAGACGCATTTCGACATTATCATTCCCTTCCGCCGAGGTGGTATCTGATTCCTCAACAGCAGAGACGGGTTCCGGGGGGGCAGACAAGGTCGGAACCTCCATTGCGACTTCTGCCTCCTCTTGAGATCTGGAAAGGTCTTCCGGCAAAAGAGACTTCTCGACGAGAGGCTCTTCGGCTGGTACAGCCTCCAGAATGAGTTCATCGACGGCAGAAACCAGCTCCATGGATGGGGAAGACCAAGGGGCAGCGGTTTCACTATCTGGCGAAGGGTGCGTAACCTCTTCTTGGCGTTCGGATGATGCTACATCATCGTGAGGCAAAGTCTCGACGATCTCCGCAACAGCTGGGTGTTCCTCTTCTGAAATTGTTTGCGTAGGCACGCTTTCAGAGAGAATCTCTCCGACAGCCTCGTTTGGTACCGTCCAACTAGGCACGTCCGTAGCTTGTGTGGTTGGCGCAGTCTCGGAATCAAGAAGCAAGGCATTCTCTGTTGCTGGCTCCAGTGGTGTAGAGTTTTCCATCCCATCAGTTTCCAGGTCAGAGGCATTCTCAACGACGCCGGCTTCCCCAGAAATATCTGGGTTTGTTTGAGTATAGTCACGTGGACAGCGTATGAATCATTTACCAGGTCCCGTTTCTGTTGTGCCAGGCGCTAGCATAGAGGCAACACCGTCTGCAGACTCGTCTACTACTTCGCCGGGTGTGTCGCTTAGCACCAATACGGACGCGTCGGCTTCTACAACTGGTTCGTCCACGTCGACAAGTGGTTCAACTTTGGCTGGAATGGCTTCACGGACTTCAGATGACAGCGGCGCGTCAAGAGAGACTTCGGCAGGGATTTCTGTCTCACCAGCAGCTGCATCATGCGGAGTGTCTGCACGGAGTGCCGCTTCCTCGAGCAATTCGCTCGACGCAGGAGGCTCAGACTGCACAGCCGTAGCCTCTTCCACAGCACGAGCTTCAATGACGGGGGTGTCAGCGGAAGCGTCGACAATCGGAGCAGGCTGGAAGTCTGTCGGGTTGGTAGTTTCAACAACGAGGTTATCGGCAGTCCGCTCATCCGCGATGGGAGCAAGTGGCTCTGTTGTGGTGTCATCATGATCTGGGACAAGCTCTGCCACGCCGTCTCCCAGTGGCGCAATATCGGGCCTCGGGACAGCTTCAACGTCGGTGTTGTTGGTACGCGCCTCCGACGAGTAGGTATCGTCGAGGGCTGGATCAGATTCTGTAAAGCTTTGGGGCTCCACATCTTTCATCGTCAACTCCGGGAGAAGCTCCACTGCAACATCCCTCTGGAACGTATCTTCTACCACAGGCTCCTGTGCTTCAGGGATGTGGGCAGAGGGCTGCTCTGCAGCGATGTCGTCGGCAACTTCAGGCGCTGGCGTAGGCTCTTCTGTGATGTCGGGGGTGGTTTCCTCTGGAACTGCGGGATGGGAAATAGGGTCCGCTGCCACGTCTGCGCTGTCAATGGCTTCCTCCGCATGAGGAATATTGAGGACCACATCGTTCAACTCCGCAGAGACGGGAAGAGGACTGCCTTGAACTGACACGGAGTATGAGGGGGTCCAAGGCGAGCTTGCTCTGGGCGGATCGTCAGGCGCTTCCAGCTTAGGTGTGTACAAAGTCGGCTGCAACTATGTAGGTAAGAAGCGGAGCAGTAAGATGTAAAAGATTACTTGCCTCGATAACTTCTCCTTGCTCAACTGGATAGGAGCTTGTGTACGCTGCCATTTCTTTGGCCGCTTCGATATCTTCTGCACCGGAAGTATCGGCAGTTGTGTCCAACAACTCAGCAGACGCGGGAAGGGGGCTCCCTTGAACGGAGACGGAATACGAAGGAGTCCAAGGGGAGCTTGCCCTCGGCGGGTCGGCGGACGCTTCGAGAGCAGGGACGACTGGTGTGGGCTGCAGAGGTATATGAGACATAAGCGCCAAAGCGATATCCCGGTTGCTTGCCTCAATGAAGTCTCCTTCATCGGCGAAGGATGATTCTTGCTCAACGAGGGCTGGAGTGTCCTCGGACGAGAGCCAACCTTGTTTGGTCACCGAGTAAGACGGAGTCCAGGGAGATTTTGGCCGTTCAGGCGCAGATTGTGCAGCGGTCAAAAGGGTCTACCCCAAAGGTTACTATTAGTAGGGCTTGTACGGAAAGCTTACTTACCTCCTCGACGTCTCCGGGAGCAGAGACACCTGGAATAAGTTCAAGCTCGGAGTCCAGCTGATTGACGCTTTCCAGCGGTGCCAGTCTCTTTAGTTTACGGGACTTGATTAGAGGTGAACATGGATAATGATGTGAGAAATTCGTACATCGTCAACATGAGCCGCGACTTCTATCTCCG